TCCCCACCGTGACACGAGTCCCCATGAGTCTGTGTGTAGTCAGGTGTAAGTCCCCACCAGGATAGAAAAACAGGTACACACACATACACAGGTATGAAACAAACAGCCTAATAACTTGAGCTGAATGAATCAGTATGTGTGAGTGAGTGAGTGAATGAGTGAATGAGTGAGTGTGTGTGTGTGTGTGTGTGTGTGTGTGAGTGAGTGAGTGTGTGTGTGTGTGTGTGTGTGTGTGTCACTGGTGTGAAGGCTAGAAACTGAAGCACATTCTCCAGGAGTCACGTCTCTGACAGGTTTGCTGTTCTCGTCTCTGACTGCAGCTCATGGACAGACACTCAGCCTGCAACAGAACATGAATATCAGTGAATCTGGGTCGCCTGTCAGAACCCAAATGCCACTCGAGCCGTTGACCTTTAGGGGCCGGACTGCATCCCTCCAGCCAAACACATCAGAGCAAACGCCTGAACATCCGCTGACAGACGACACTATAGCCACCGAAGACTGAACTTCATCTGTGCGAGGAACAGTTTCCCAGCAGAAGCATCTGAGATCCTTCAGTTCCCACATCAACACTCAGACAGAAGACGTCCCTCTGAAGACTGCAGTAATGATGCTGAAAACACAGCTGCGCATCACAGAAATCACTTACAGTTCAACACATTCACACAGAACACAGCTGTTTTAAACTGTAATACTATTTCAACGTTTTACTGTATTTTTGATCAAATTACCACAGCCTTGATGAGACGTTTCTTACTCATCAAGATCAACCATTCGATTCAAGTTTTTGTCTCGGTTACTGAATTGAGAATGACATTTTCATAATATACATAAACTACATAACATTTTAGTCCCAAAGCGTCTTGCAAATAAATCATTCATATTATGTGTGATCTACTTAATTTAAACAGGACTAATACGTATTGTGTTTGGTAAGAGTTTTCTGCTGCTGTGTTTGACCACTGATGGAGATCTCAGCTGCGAGGGAAAGACGATCAGAAAAAGCAGGGTTAATTGGCAGCAGAGAATGAGTGTGTGAGAGTGAAGCAGCACATCATAACACACC